CACAGGATAACATCATTATCTCCTTATTCTGAGGCCTAAAAGTTACATGCCTATATGAAGTTTGGCATAATTCTGTGATTCTATGATAATTTCCATTCGACAGCAACAGGTGAAGGGAAAAAGCAGCCTTCTCCAGGAGATACTTTTTTTTAACTTAAAATAGATACACCAAATGAGCAAGAAGAGTCACTCAGTATGTGCTATTTCTCTCTACCAGCCGCAGAGGAACCTACTTAAGGTCCCGTAAGTCCACAAGGGTAGACCAGTTCTCTTTTTTGTACAGTGAATAGCAAAATAGGGGTGTATGCTATTGCCATATCTTGAAATAAGTTAAAATGAGTTGTTGCCACTTTTTTTTTTTTTTTTTTTTTTTTTTTGTAGACATAAATGCAAGGTCTGTATCTCTACAAATCTAATGCAGATTGAAATAAGTTCAGTGTTACCCAATGCAGTTGCCATTGCAATTTCTTGCTAATGACATAGCAAGACTTATGGTATTTGGTAGGAGCTTTCCAAATACAGTTTCTAGAGTCTTTAGCTTCCTTGTGGATCTGAGATGCCACAAACAGAACAAGAGGGGAAGAGGGGGAAAAAAAAAAGAAGAAAGAAAGAAAGAGAGAGAAAGTGAGAGAGAAAGAGAGAAAGAAAGAGAGAAAGAGAAAGAGAGAAAGAGAGAAAAAGGAAGATCTGTAATTCACAGCTGCAGAGAAATTGTGAACCCCCAAACCTTAAACATATTAATAGGGAAAACATTTTCTTCTATCTTCAATGCCACATATATTTAAAACATTTTCACAAAACATTTTAACTTCCTGTGCAAGACTACTTTCATTCTCATACACTGCAGCTTTCCTGTTTGCATTTCTTATGCCATTCTTCTCATCCACTCAGCCATCTATTTTTAGCTTGATTTGACATGAATTTTCTTCTTGCCCTTTTCCCATTTACTAATTCATCTGCACTGACCTTATTTTCACTCTTAGCCAGTGACACGCTTCTGACACATACACACACCTAGAACTGGAGTTCATCTGTATACCTTTTCTGTATCTTCAGTTTCTTTACTGTTCTTCTTCCCACCAGAATTCTTCTCTGAAAAAGCTATTTCCTAATGAAGCTCAGTGTCCTGGCTATTCAGTTTTGTTTAGTCTGTCTATTGAATAAGATGTTGTATGGCACTGCAATAATATGATAGGGGGTCTTTAATTTCTAAATCCCATAGTTGGATGTATTCTAACATGATGACAGTTACCTTGCATTTTCTGTATTTTATTTAAATGCCATATTCCTTCAGTCCTACAGCTGTTTGTGGGTCTTTGGCTTGTGATGCAATGAGGTTATCTTGGTAAACTTCTGACTGGGCTGGGCTCCATATCACAGAAACCACGGCCGTGGCTGGCAGCGTTTACTCCCTAGGTAACTATTTTAGCAAGTACTGAATGAGTGTGGAAAGCAGATCAGGGCTAAGCCACACTGGCACACTGATATAGGGAAACTCGTGCTGCATTTATCCACGCAGCACCTTTCAGTAAATAAATAAAGGACTTTAGCCTCGGGAGCTAACAGCCCAGCATCTTTTGCAAGTGTCTAAATAAATAAAGCAAACAAAAAATGCCTTTGATATCAGCCCTAGAATTGTGCATCCTGTTGCTAACCTGAGATAAGCACAAGCCTTTTTCATATGTAAGAATGCATATGATCTGACAGTTTCACATTGCTGCTGTCTCTTTTTCCTTCCCTCTCTAAAATGCCAACCCTATTGGAAAATCAATTTTATAGAACTTATCTGCAGCTCTTGCCAAGACCCCAGACTCATTCACAGTACACTGCCCCTTTGTGCCTAACGAGCCTCCCATATGTTGCAGGACTTGTCAGCCATTCTCATCTTTGCCTGTGACCCAGCTGTGTGCTAACGAGGATGGCTACTACGCCTTCTTTTGCAGATAATAAAAGAGACAAGACAGCAGCCTCAGCTGGTGAATTAAAAGGCATTGCTGGAAAATGTGCCCAGTACTATAATCCTTCATTTCTGAAGGCCTTCCAGAAGCCTTCTGTATGCATGGAGAACTTCCAGGGAGGCTTTGAAGGAGATTTATATTCCTGAAGAATATTTTGATAAATAACGAATCTGTAATTTATTTATTTATTTACTTATTTTCCCTTCTTTTCCAATGATAGCTAAAGGCCCCAAGTACAGCAGTATTGATGCAGTTGTCTGGAACTTGGAATGAGGAGGGGACAGGTTTTGCATGTTGTGAAACTGCAGTTGATCATCAGCCATCCTTCAGCGCAGTTCTCATGAAGCCTTCTTGAAAACTGCTCAAAGGATTGCCAGAAACATTCAGGCTCTGCAGGCTGTACTTGTAGAGCTCTACCTATTATGCTCTCATTGTCTCTCTAACTTTCTTTCTCGGTCTACTCATCCATTGTCTTGTCTCCTTTCATTCACTGCCCTGCTGTGCACACACCCTCAGGTAGGCTGGCTTTGGCTCACACAACCAGTGGGTCAGGCAGCTACCATGGCCTTGACAACACCAGTTTTTAAAAGTGGCTCTTGGGGATGCTAGAACAATTCCACTTTTTCTGTAGGTAAGTGGCTACTCTATGCTCCTCTGCTTTGTATGAGCTTTGCTGAGATTTTCATTCTCAGATGTATCATATCTGCAGAAATATTTATTTCCCCAAACTAAATCCAGAATGTTCTGTGTTGTCTTGTTCTGCAGCCAGCGTAATGAAACAACTCTGTGTTCCTTTCCAGAAAATATAGTTTTCCTATGATGTTTCATAGCAATTGCAGTCAGAGTCAGGACAAATGACATTTTTTCTGCGGGTCATGTTTATCTCCTTTGTTTGCGAAACTATTTGTTGATGTATTTATTTTGGCAATTTCCAGTTCAGACTTTTTCCTGTACTTTCTTCTCATGTTCATCCCACTTTTGTGACATCAGACATTGTACCCTCCGATGTAACCAGATGGCTATAAGGACTGAGTCTTTAACTGGTGTAAATTGTCAATGTCAATAAGGTTCTTGGAGTGGCACTGATTTATACCAACCCTGGTTATTTACTTTCTTACATACTGGTTTTAATACCTTTATACTAATATAGCTAGTATTTCTCCTATGATCAGCTTATTTTTTATTGGAATTGTAATTTTATAGACGTGACTATAAGTAACCTGATTTTATTGACAGACAAATCATCACCTGACTATATATGTGTCTAGAGAAAGAAAGATCCAGCAATCATTTGCAGTCACCATTCACTTATGCCACACTTTCCCCTCTAATACTTTAAGTACACAAAATTTCTGTTTTCAGGCTCTCCCATAAGGACCGACAATTCTGGTCTGCTTTGCTCTGCCTTGGACATGTGACTGTCCAAAGGAATTTATCTGACATCGGGGAAGACCATTTTATTTGATTAAAATGCCCTTTTGTTTGTCTTTCTGGATCCCAAACTTAAAGTACAGAAAAGTAACTATCTAAATCACAAACAAGTAGCTCTCTAGGGGTTACTGAGAAAACAAGATTTTGTTTCTGTGTGAAGAAAACCAAAGCTGAATGATTTGAAAATTCTTGCATTGCTCATATAAACCACAATGGGTTTCAGTTGCTGTAAATCTTTCTTTACCATTCTTAATACAACTATTACAATCTCCTTTGAGTTTACATGTTCGGTAAAAGTGTTTTTCATAACATATCCGTATCAGCACAAAGAAACCAAAGTTATCACTAAAGATACCGCTGTAGTAAATAGAGTAACAAATTTCATCCTATCCAATCATTATCTTGGGACTTGTAACAGGAACTGCACTGCAGTGAATCGCTGCGAATGGACCTTGGAATATGGATAGCTCAGCAAAGTGTTTGCAATGAAACACTAAGTTTGGACAAATGCAACGCACAAGCATTGTTTAAAAAACTGTATTAAATATCAACACAATGAGAATATAAAAAGTTCAGAGGAATAATAATGAACACAATGATACAGTGAATATATATACAACATACAAATGAATTTAATAATGTATATAGCAGCCTTTACTACTTGTTGTAGTAAATACTGTTATGCCATTTCTACTTGTAAAAAAAGGTTAAAGCAAATTGTTTTCTGCTTGGTGTTGTACTTTCTTCCTGAAAGGCCACAAATTGGTGATGAAAATGTGGTTTCTGGAGTAATGAGCTGTGTCATTTTTGCCCTAATCAATAAAGTTAAGCACATGTGAAAGTCTCTACAGAATCTGGTGCTCGAGACAGCTGGACTCAGGTGAGCAGTTTTAGCTGAGAAACAAGTATTTCATCTTCTGTGTTTCTGTTACTGAAATCTGCTAAGGATATTGCACTGTGTACATGGCTAAAACCACCTAAGCTGGAAGCATGAGCACATTACAGAAAGCTGAGCTGCCTATACCCTTTCATTTTGGTAACAAACCCCATTTCCAGAGCAGTGTTGTATAGTTTAAACAGCATCCTACTGATTTTTGTACTAGTTACTCCTTCATTTATTCAGCACACGTGTTGCTGTTGGCCAGCAGGCGTAAATTCTAATTTTACAACGTTCACCTTTTCACTTCTCCTTTTTCTTTGAAACTCGCAGAGGAAGTGGTGGCAGCTGTTTCCCTATGTTCTGTGAATCGTGGCCTGGCAGACAGCGTGCTGGGACCCCATCTTCCCCCTTTTCCCTCCTTTTACCCCCAATTCTCAGACCCCAACCCTGTGGGCACAGCCGGCTTCAGTTTCGTTGAAGTCCAGCTGAACCTAACGCACCCGTGCAGACACTGACAGGCCTGAAGAGACAGCAGAGTGCACAGAATACAAGAATTACACGGTTAGACATGAAAACGATCTTTAATGCGTGCGCGTCTTGGCAGCCAAACACCGTGCTTCGAGGGCAGGGCGCTGGTGCCTCAGGGATGCTCGCGGCCCCTCCGCCTGGCGGGCCGGGCTGGGCGAGGCCGGGAGCTCCGTAGGGAGAGCCCTCTCCCCATCCCTATCCTTGTCCCTATCCCTGTTCCTGTCTCTATCCCTATCCCTGTCCCTGTCCCTGTCCCCAGCAGCAGCCGGCCCGGCCGTGCCCGGCCCTCCCCTGCCAGCAGGGCGCTGCGGAGGCTGCGCGAGGCGGGGACTGGCGCGGGAGGCAGAAGATGGCGGAGGCCGAGTGAGTCCAGGGGCGGCGGCGGCTCCCGGGCGGAGGGGGGCGGCCGGGCCGGCCTAAAGTCGGGCCGAGCCGAGCCGAGCCGGGTCAGGCCGTGCGGAGCCTTGGGGCCTCGGGCGGGGATGGCGCAGAGCCCCCGCCGCGGCCGGGGTGCCTGGGGCTCCGGCGCCGCGCAGGCAGCAGGGGCGGCCCCGCTGGTACCGGCTGCCAGCCCTGCCCTGCTGTGCCCTGCGGGCTGCGGCTCGGGCACCGCTCTCCAAGGGCTCGGTGCCGCCGGGCAGGGCTGAACCTGCCGCGGGGAGAGGCTCCCCCTGCCCCCGGAGGGTGCTGCCGGCGGGGCTGGGCCCGCTGCCCGCGGTCGCCACGGTGGCTTCGAGGTGGCCGCAGGCGGTGTCCCGGCGCTGGCAGTGCCCAGGCCGGCGGCTGCCGAGCCTCTGAGGTGCCCGGCTCCTGCCCGCCGAAGTGGGGAGGTCAGGGCTCGGCGTTGCGGGGTTCCCTGCCTGAGGTTTCCCTTCGTTTCGCCGTGGCGTTCAGCTCCTGCTTGGTCTTAATGAAATAAATCTTTCCTTTCTTGGCCCCTCTGTACACCAAATTGTTCACAAAACGTCTTCTGATGTGAGGAGTTTGGTGAAACTTGCACAGCAGAGCTCTTCGTTAGCTTGGGGAGTGCTGGGGAGCAGGTGGTGGGATGGGTCTTCTAATTAAAAGACAGTTAAGTGTTTTAAAAATGTCAGGAGTGATAATGTGCTTGTTAACTTTCTGTGTAAGGCCAGGCATCGCATGGTTGCCTTGCGAATCGTATCTGGTTCTCTCACATGGTACATTTGGTATGTTAAAAAGCTCGGGCCGAGGCCGTGTGCCACTGAAGAGGGAAAGTGAAGTTGTGACTGTGACAGTGCCAAGCCTGTAGCTTTCTGTATGTTTTTGCAGCTTTGAGTGCTCATGCCCGAGAGATGAAGGCATAGAAGTTGTGTTGTAGTTCGATGTGTGAACTATTCCATCTGAAGGGAAACCCTACATAAAAAATACAAGGCTTGTAAGGAGACAGGCTGTCTCAATCATCTGTGTGTACACCAGCTTCCCAGTCTAGTAAAAAGAGTTGATGTCTTTGGAAATACTAATTTCCATTTTCATTAAAGGAAGCAGCAGTAAATACCTTTGATATGCAGGTAGCGTGTCTTGCCTGGGAACCTTAAACCCAGGCTGTCAGAGACACTGAAGAGTCCTAACGTTAATTTTGGTCGGCTACCTTGCACTGTTCTGCCATTTCTCTGGCATGCCAGCAGCCAGTCAGCAGCCAGAATTTGGGAACTGTAATAAAATAAATGGGAACAGCATGTGTAGGGTGGGAAACCAGGACAGAAACCACTGCGTCATACTAATTTGAGATCTGGCATTACTTGCTATAAAGACATTCATTGACATATACCCACTGAAAGTGTCCTTGTGCTGGTAGGGCTGTTTGCCTCATAGTAAAAACATGGCTGGAGTCTGCAGTGCCTTGAATGACTTGCAGCTGCAGGGCTTGTCTAAAAGCAGCAAGCAATTCCCTGGCATGGAAAAGTCCTGTTATGTTTTGATAAGTCTTAATTGTTAAGCATCATGTATTTGCCAAAGGGTGTATTCAGTGCGAAATCAGGTAAATATGGTTTTCATTTTCTGAAACTGGTTTATGCCAGAGTAAAATTGACTTTAATTTGATCATCAACATTTGTAGTTTTATATTTATTTTTTTTTTAAAAAAAAAGAGTAAGATCTGGTCGATTTTTACGTCAGTAGAACGTTTTACGTAGTGCCCAGTGGGACAGCTGATGCTTCTTAGTTAAGTTGGAGATTATTCAAAGAATTACAAGAAGCAGAGTCTTGTTAGAGGGAGATATCAAGAGATGGTATAACATGGGGAAATAATAGCTGCAGGGAAATTATTAATAGATTTCCTCAAAGATTGGGAGCTGCATTGGTCTTGCTTAATATTTTAATTGATGAGCTTGATACACAAAACAGAATTGTAGTAATGGTGTTTGCTGATGACCCAAAGTTGGGCAATGTTTGCAGGGTCAAAGAGGACAAAGGTATCCTGCAGGAAGAACTGAATGGCATCGAGAGTCAGAGTGATGCATGTTGGATAAAATTTGGCATGCAAGGTTTGGAGCTGGTACTGAGAAACAGGAGTTTGCTAACAGGAGAGAAGAAAGATGTGAATGTAGTTACAGATCACAGGATGTGAGCAACTGCTTTATGGCGGTGGAAAAAAAAAAAGCAAATATGGAGTGCCCCAGAAGAACTCAGCTAAATAAGCACACTACAGTAGGAACTTTGTTGTACAAGGAGAGCCAAATCTGGAAATTTGGTTTAACACCCCTCCCTTCCCCATTAGGTACAGTATTCTTGTGGAGTTGTTTTTTGTAGTTGAGACCTAGAGTTCCTGGTGCCGTTTAAGACCTCCCCTGTAGACTGTGAATGCTCCTATCATCGCCAGGTGGGCACAGTCTGCAGAGGAGTTTCTCAAGTTGTGATTTACTTGTGATTCCCTGCTTTCTTTCCTGGAGGCTAAATGTATTATCCAACCTCTACTGCCATGCCATCCAGAGGAGGGAAAAAAAATCTGGAGCACCTCCTTTTTGCTGGAGGGGAAGTGTTGCAGTGCCAGCGTTGATGCAGACATCTCAATGCTCGGTGTGAGTCAGGGTGCTGAGTAAGAAGCCAGGCACTGTGGTTGCCGTCTTTCCCCTCCGCCTCCCCAAGACGTGATCCTGATTACAAATATCGTTCAGAAGCAGCTGCATAGAAGAGATCCTGTGTTCTTGGGAGGGCTCTGCTGCCTTCTCAAACTGCCAGTGGGAAGTTAGGTGTGATAAGAACAATTTTTTTTATTTTAATCTTCTTTTGTTTTGCCTCTTGGAAATTTTTTTAGTTCTGGAGGATACCTCAGCATGGCATCGTGTCGCTGCTGGAGGTGTCCATAGTGTCTTAGCTAGCCTGGATGCATTTCACTTGCTTTTTGGCATTTGGTCAGCAAAAAGGAAGGCAGGTGCCTCGGCGCTGCCCTTACGTCTTCAGAGAGCCTCCTCTGGATCTGTTGAACTTGAGCGGAAGGGGAAGGATGCACCCGCTGTTTCGGCTCCCCTTCTGTCCCCGTGGCCATAAGTAAGAGTTTACAGAAGCTGCCACCAGCTGGCAGTTTCAAATTTAAAAACAATGTCAGGGCTTTTTCTTTTTCTTTTTTTTTTGAGTTCCAGGTGGCTAAGCTGCCGATCAAAACTGTTGTTATACACGAATGTGGCACTGAATCCGTGTATAACAAGACTCTTGACTGACAGTTTTGTTTTTTAAAAAAGAGTGATTGGGATGGGAACTCTGCCATTCACGTAGTGCCTGCAGAGTTATTCATGTAGGAAGCCATCCAGGGCACGGGCAGGTGGAGCTCCTTTTTCCCTTTGCTCTCAGATTCTTTTCTGCCTGTCTACAATTATAGTTTGTAATAATGGATGGTAGCTTTGACAAAATGTTCCTTTGGTAAACATTTTCTCTGTACCGGGGTTACTTTTCTGGTTCAGCAAGTTATTTGCTCTTTATCTGGGATTACGCAAATTGGTGCACTCTGGGATTGCTGAAATTTTGTCTCCATCCTGAAAAATATTCCTCAGATTTCACTTTCCAGTTGAGAAATGTTTTCTGGCTTCTCTTCAAGAAGAAAGATCTGTGAACCCCTGTGGCTAACTTGAAACCAAGGGCTGTCTTATTTCTGAATTACATAATCTCCAGTTGTTTAAAGGAGGGAATTAAGACAAAATTTACTGTTACTGTGAAGCAAGCCTTTCTTCCATCTGATATCAGTTTTATTTTTCTCATTTCTGTGGTTTTGCATTCCTAGCTGTCTATCCCACATTTTCTTCCTTGTTTCCTAGTAGATAAAGCTATTTGTAAAACCTGTTTTCTTTGTAAGGCACTTTTGCAGCTGTGGTTGGTTCCGCTCTCAAAAGACAAATTGCCTCTTCAAAAAATTCAGAAAAAAAATATAAAACCCAATTTCTGATTTATTTAGGAGAACTATGTATAATGTTTTTTACATCTGAATTTTTCACCGTTGTTTTATTATTTTTCAGGGTTTGGCTATCTCCTAATTGAGGAGAGTCAAAATACTGCCTACAAGTGAATCCTCCTCAGCCAGCCTCTCGGATGCCTCTGAGAACATAAGAAGTCATGGCGGAAAATGACGCAATGCCAACCTTACCAAAAAAGTGTGGTCCATACATTTCATCTGTAACCAGTCGTGGCATGAATTTGGTAATTCGTGGTATAGTGCTGTTTTTTATTGGCGTATTTCTTGCATTAGTATTAAACTTGCTTCAGATCCAGAGAAACGTTACTCTCTTCCCCCCTGATGTGATCACAAGCATCTTCTCCTCAGCTTGGTGGGTGCCACCTTGCTGTGGCACAGCGTCAGGTAAGTTCAGTTATGTATTTATGCCTGGCATGGAGATAAAAGATTGGATAGGTAGTTATAGTTGCAAAAAGCTTCGTTTGAAAGGTGTGGAAAATATAAATTTCTCTTCAGTCACATTGCCTTTTCTAAGCTATTGCTATCCAGATCTCACTGGGTATTCACAAATAGTGTGCATGTGTCCAAAAAATACTGTCCTGCTTACTCATTACACTGTAATATTGTTAGCAGAGTATAACCTTTGCTTTTTCTTCTGGGAAGGTGGTGCCACTTGTAACTTTGGGGCTGGTTACAGAAATATGCTCTACAGGCAGCCCATGGAAACAGCCTGGAAGCATCAGATTTCTGCACGCTGCAGCTTGTTTTTGAGCACAGTGAACCATCCCCAGTAATGCTCCGTTTTGTGGTCCAGCTTTCCATTTGTTCCTCAGTCCAGTTGAGGTATCGCTTTAGCTGTGTAAAGTTCAGAAACCTGACTGTGTCTCAGGGAGTAAAGGCCAGATACGCAGTTTGCAGTTGCAGAAGCCCGTTACAGAACAGAGCACCTCATTTAGATTCATATATCAAGTCGGATGATGTGAACATGCTTCGTTTCTCCCATAACCATGCAGGGAGTTGAAGCTTTTTTGTGTGATCTGGGAACTAGTTTAAGTGAGTTGTCTACTGTATGTAGTAAGAAATATCCCTTTTTCCATTTCTTTCATCTTCAAGTATCGAGTACAAATCTGATGGAGTTAGGCTTTCTACTTGGCTTTGAAGATAGTTGATCATGTGGGTCGATTTTACACTTCACTAAGGGAATATCCTTAGCAGCGAGGTCTGGAGGAATTCTGATTTAATGAACCTGTACAGTAAATGCAGCATCTTCTCAGAGATAGTTTTAATAAGATTGAGAAGCTCACTTTTCTGGGTATTAATCATAGCATCGTAGAATGCTTCGGTTTCAAAGGGAGCTTAAAGATCATCAACCCCCAGCCATGGGCATGGAGATGAGGAGAATCAATGAATGAGTTTTTGAGTTGATACTGTTGTGCTGATGATAATATTTAAGCCTCTCTTTTTTCTTCTTTTTTTTTTTTTTCCTGCTCATCTAAATGCTTTCCTTGTGATAGCTTGTTGAAATAGCTCTCTGAATCCGTCAGTTTCGTTCTACTGCGGAAATGCATTTGGCATATTATGGCCAAAGTTACATACCTACTTTATCTGCTGGTTGTCTTACTCCTCTTTCTCTTGTCTTGCTGTGATCATGGATTATTTTTTTGGACTGTATTCTGGATTTTTCTTTTAAACTTTAAATTGGTTGTCTAGACAAACACATCTGGTAAAGAAATGGTCTTCTATGTATGGAGAAGTTTGGTTTGAACACTGTTAAAGTTTTGACAGAGTTCAGTTAGTCAACAGTTTTTCAATGGCTTTCTGTGTAGGAATGATTTAGTGTGTTGTGGTTCTTAGCATGTGGATGTAGCTGTCTGTAATTATTACTTGGAAAATGTATGTCCTATGTCTGTGAGGCTTACAATGTGAGAAGGGTGACATGGTTGAAAAGAGACAGAAGGACCAATAGTACACTTTGTGTTCTGTTAAAACCATGTTCACGCTATTGTAGCAGTACTACTTTCTATTTCTCATTCAGGGTTTCTCTGGGGGTTAAAACCGACAGAATCCCATCTTGCAGCAGCAACATGTAAAGTTCACCGTAAAGTTTGAACTGTGAACTGTTTGCATCAGGTTGTACCCTAGGCACTCTTGGTTTGTTTGAGAACACCATCTGCAGCTGTGTACAGGGAAGTCAAAAGGCTTCTCATGTGTTGGTGGTTTTGATGGAAGGACTGGATATTGTTTATAAAACACAGTCATCTGTTAGATATTTGCACTACTTGCTTTTAAACCACCTGATTTAGAGATATTACTTAATTGGCTTTTCCCAGAGTGACACCTGCTAAAGTTCTAGTTCTTTCCCTTTTATTATCAGTCTTTTCCGTTTACCTTCCTTATCCCCTCTGCTAGCATACAGACAGGCAATCTCTATGGCACATGCTGATAATTCACCCATTTTCTTACCATTTGTACTTGGACAGCCTTCCTAGAAGTGACACGAACATTTCTTTGCAGTATGGTTTATTATTATGAACAGAATAAAGGTGTTTTGCATATTTATAACCGGTGGTAATCGAGGTTGCTTTCAGAGAAGTCCTTTCATCCATCCCTGTTATTAGTCATCAGTTTGGCCCAATGCCTTTGGCAAGAAAATTGCTCATGGAAGATTTTTTTTTCCTCTCTAGCCTTACTGGTGATTTATTTTCCTGAATCATGGAGATCAGGTTCCTCTCTGTCTGAATAAAGAGCATTTGCCATAACATACCTCCAGCAGCATGCCAAACTGAGGGTGCTACAGTCCACACCAATTATTCAGCCTCTGCCTCCCTCCTGCAGCACCAGTTTAACTTTAAGCAGCAGTGTTAATCCTCAGCTGTGTTGGTAACAGTCTTTTTCACTGCAACTGCAGTACAGAATAAATTTATGAAGAAGTGTTCAAAGAGCATAGCAGTTCCCTGGGGTTGAAAGTCCTGTTTGCTTTTAGTATTCAACAGCTACTGCAGATTCTTGGCTTTCCTTCTTCTGTGTGAGCCTTTATAGTAGCACTGAAGAAAATAAAAACATTATCCAAACAGAGACTGCTTGTAACAACAACAAGAGAAGACAGAAAATACTGACATTAAAGAGGACGGTTTGCCCTTACTGTGGTGTGTTTGTTTTGCTGTTATTTTAACGTGCATCTTTGATACGTGGGATTTTCAGAAGTGCCAGCCTGCAAGCTATTACTGTTCTTCTAGAGTGCTTTGAGCCTCAGCCCTTAGTTCAAATCAGCTCAGTTTTACTACTTCTGTTACGTCACTGCTGCTGTGGTTGACAATGCTGCTGAACTTTGTTAACTAATGGGCTATATGGGTTATAACAATAATAATGGATTAATAAAGGGCTTTGTTGAATAATGAAATTATTTGAAATTCTGTTTTGTTGCAATGTGTGTTTTGTACCATGTATGCTTAAAATATTTGTTTTAGTTACAATAATTGTCTGGGTAGTCTTTGTTTTAGTTAAATATTGCCAGTACTTTAACTTTTGGGCCTTCTTTCTTTCATGTTTCCACAGCTGTGATTGGGTTATTGTACCCATGCATGGACAGACATCTGGGAGAGCCACATAAATTTAAGAGAGAATGGTCCAGTGTAATGCGATGTGTAGCAGTCTTTGTGGGAATAAATCATGCCAGCGCTGTATCCTATATTCTAATGAAAGTGGCGATAACAAATAGGTTTCCAGTAAAGCAAAGCTTACATAGTCATGGTGAATTGTTAAAATATAACATGCAGCATGTTTGCAAGGGAAACACAGAATATGTCTTACTGTTAAACTGTGATAGCGTTATTGGAGGTGGTAAGTCTCGCATTTTTTGGTTCTGAAAAAGCTTTTCTTAGAAATGCCTCAATATTGGGCTTTGTCTTTTAGTCTTTATTATCTCTGAAAGTGTGCGGAAGTCATGGAACCGTAGAACAGCTTGGGTTGGAAGAGACCATAAAGATCATCTAGTTCCAACCCCCCATATACGCACCTCCACAGATTTGGCACCCACAGCTTCTCTGGGCAGCCTGTTCCAGTGCCTCACCACCCTCTGAGTGAATAATTTCCTCCTAACATCTAATCTAAATCTCCCCTCTTTCAGTTTAAAACCGTTCCGCCTTGTCCTGTCTTTATCTGACTGAGCAAAGAGTTGCTCTCTGTTTTTTTTGTAAGCCCCTTTTAAGTACTGAACGGCTGCAATGAGGTCTTCCTGGAGCCCTCTGTTCTCCAGGCTGAAAACCCCCAGCTCTCTCAGCCTTTTTCATAGGAGAGGTGTTCCAGCCCTCTGATCAACTTTGTGGACCTCCTGTGGACCCTATCTAACAGAGTCTCTACATCTTTCTCGTGCTTGGGGCCCCAGAGCTGGATGCAGGACTCCAGGTGGGGCCTCACAAGGGCAGAGCAGAGGAGGACATTCCCCTCTCCTTGCTGGTCGCTCCTCTGTTGATGCAGCCCAGGAAGCAAGAAGTACTTACAGGGTATATGTGAAGCACATGCACTTTGCAGAGAATGTTACCATTCCTGTGGCCATTCACTAAGAGCAATTAGAAGGCACTCCGTGTGTTTCACTACATTATTTTCTTCCTATTTGTGTAGCTGTTCATGTGCAACCTTGCACAAGTGTGCTGGAAACTGGCATTCCTCCCCTTTGAAGCACCTGGTAGTGCTGGGGGCTTGCTGGATCACAACAGGGCGTTTGTCATGTGGATTGGTGCACCTTACTGGCAGCATGGTCCCAGTGGTTTTGTGTAGTCATATCTAGTGCCTCCTCTGCTAGGTAAAACCTGTGTCTGTCTGTAAAAATGGGGTTCTTATAAATGGATCAGAAAGAAAACTTATCTCTGGAACTCTCAGTTCTTTCAGTGTCAGCTCCAGCACCAGAAATCTGGGGGGTGGGAGCGCTAAGAAGTTTCTGATTGTGTGCTACTGAATCTCCTCATTTCTAGGAGAAAAGCACAAGTTAAGTGAGCAATGTAAGGGCTGGCTGAATTCTTACTGAGGTGACTTGGCCCTTTAAATGGCTTTTATTTTATGGTTTTTGTTCCTGCAAGCCATCCTATGCAGTATGTCCAGATGAGCTGGAGTTGCTGAAGTTGAGTCACTCTTGCTGTCCCAGGCAAACCTTGCTTTTTTGTCAAAGATTTGTTACAAAAAGGAATCCAAGGTTGGTTCCCACCAGCCTTGGACTATACCTGATCTGTAAGCACGTACAACTTCACTTCTTTTAAGAATGGAAGAGAGTTGACAGCTTCTCTCTGCATGGGTCAGATTATTTGCAGCAAACCATCTTGCAGTTTTCTAACAGCTGTTACACATATTCCAGAATATCATTAATGTACTGTCTGCGTTTCTTCCTTGACAGCTCTCCAGACAGCTTTCTTTTCAGTTTATTACTCGTTTTGCACATTGCCATATTTGGTGTGGGTTTTGTTCATTTGACATTTTTTTTCTGATGCTATTGATTTTTATCCTGTAATTAATTAATTTATTTGCTAGTTGAACTTTTCTAATTTCCTGTAGGTCTTTCTCCAGGCCTGTGTGAGAAAATAGGACAGTGGTTTTACATTGTTATCCAGTAAATTTTCTTTAAGGCTTATGAAACTTGACAGCCTCCTTTTTAATAATCTGTTTTGGAAAGGGCTAGTGAGGATGAGTTTATATTTCCAAAACATTTTGAAGAAGGTGAGGTACTGCAAAGGTATCTCAAGCAACTCACAATTTCATTGCAGGTTTAATAAAAACTGAATTTCAGTGTTGAATACTTTTGCATTAATATTACTTATGTTTTGTTCTACAGAAAGCGTTATTTTTTAATGTTTTGCTGAATGTAAACTAGCGTGTAAATTAAACATAATTGCAATTGAAGTAAGAGTGAGAAATAACTTTTTTCTTTATACCTGATAGCTATATGGTAGCTGATACAGTTAGTGCTGTATTTTTTTATTGTGAGACAAAGTATCTGTTGTGCCAAAATATGATAAAAGGAATTAAGAGAACTGCTTTACATTTGTATTTGATATTTCCAAGCTTCTCCTTAACAATTAACCCAGAAAGTGGATTTTGCCAACAATATCCAGTTGTCTCTAACATTAGCAGCACTGTCAATTGGACTGTGGTGGACATTTGATAGATCACGAAGTGGCTTTGGTCTTGGAGTAGGAATTGCTTTCTTGGCCACATTGGTGTCACAGTTTCTGGTCTACAATGGAGTTTATCAGTAAGTATTTAAATTCTTTAAGGATAAATTATAGTATCCTGAAGCTATACAATAAAATCAGGATAACTGAAGGGGCAGAATTTGTCACAACTTCCAAAGCTGCCAGCACTTAATTTGGAGTGTAAAATAAATTTGTGAAAGCTTTGTGTGTGTAGGTAGGTTTTTTAGTTGGGAGTTATTTCAATAAAATTGCTGCCATTACCAACCAAGCATATTTTTTTTTTTAGTTTAACGAATGGGTTTATAATCAGTAAGAAGCCTCATTTGTTATTTGCTGTAAGCAATTAAGTTTCTATAATAGTAGCTTTTTGAGTTGAAGTGTCCTGTTATTTAAATCTGTGGATTTGTCTCCTGTGATTGGAGGTCTCTATGTATTGCACAAGATTGAGCTAAAAAAATGTATTTTTTGCAGATACACATCTCCAGATTTTCTTTATGTTCGTTCCTGGTTGCCATGTATATTTTTTGCTGGTGGAATAACTATGGGCAACATCGGCAGGCAGCTGGCAATGGTAAGTTTGGAGGGGAGGATTGACTGCCTTCTAGTGGTAGATATAATCCACATGTCATTGTTTTCTTCAGAGATGCCAATCGGTTATTTGAATTGAGGTGGAGGAGTAAGGTAGTAACTGGTAATCTTTGGTTTTTGATCTAGTTAGCGAGCCATTAACACTGTTAGTCAGCCCATGGTTTTGCTCTGTACCCTCAGTTGCATTCTTTTAGTCATCTCAAGACTAGGAGCTAAATAAGAACACCAGGTACAGGGAGAAGTCAAGCCATCCCCTAAGTCTGCTGCTCACGGAGGCAGAAATTGCAGCCAACAGCATGTGCACAGAACCTAGGGAGACCAAACTTACCTGGGTGAAGCGTAAAATGAGCTATCTTACCACTCATTTTGTAGAAAATTCTCCTTCATAGTCTTTTTCATTATTTATGTAAATGACTATTGTTGTTTTTGTCAACTTGTGTTTTTCAGTATGAATGCAAAGTCATTGCAGAGAAGTCTCACGAGGACTGAGGAGAAACAATATGCACCTTTTACATAGGAAAATATTTGACAAATGACTGTCGGAGGAGCATAAGGAACACTTGACTATGAAATTGCCAAAATGCAATTTTTTTCCCTTCAGTGGTATACTTTACTGCAATCTGTGATTGCTGCTTCTATAGAAACCTTGATGTCTCTTTTTTGATTACTGTGAAGTTACAATAGTATGCAATACATTTGACAATATTGGTTCAAATATAGGATTCTCTTTTTCCAAATCTAAACCAAGTTTACCATAAATTACTGTCTGTCCGTAATGTTGCAGTGCCAAACTGAACCTTTTGCACTACATTTCTGTAGCTGAAACTTCTGCTTCACTTTATCTTGAAAGTTTTGAGGAATTTGTTCTTAATAGCGCAATGAAAGACAAGGGATTCAAAGATAGGAATGAAGATCTCTTTACATGATGATAGCTAATGATACCTTTAAGAAATTCATGGATTACAGGTGAGCCTTGATGCAATAAGTAACTGATTTCTGCCTATTAACATGCTGTATCATTCTTCATCACAGGAAACCTGATATTTGTCTGTGATCCGTGCCCAGTTTCCCATATTCAGAATGTGAAAATGGAAACTGAGGAAAATGAAAACTGAGGCTTCACTATTTTTCCCCCTTGTACAACCAATATACATGCTTAGATATGGATTTATGTGGATGATCATTAGATGTGGACAAATTCTGAAACTGCTTGTATTGAGTACCAGGATACAATTCGGGTCATTCTTGTACAATTTCTTAAGCTGACTTGTGTTGATCCCTTTTAAAAAGGTGTGGTTTTTTGTTTTTTTTTTTTTTTTAATGAAATTTAATTCTGCTGAACTAAATCAGCCACTACCATTTAGTGTCAGAAAGACCTCCATTACCAACATTACTCGTGATTGTTCTTGTCTTTTCCCTGTTGTATTTGCAGGGATTGGCAGGAGAAGGCAAGGCTGTATTTTAGGTACTGATGTAGCCCTTATTTCTGTGACCTTGGTCCAGGCACTCATAAATGCATTCGTTCTCATCGCAACTTTCTGAAGTAGAGAAGTCCTGTTATCCTTGTTTTACAGGTGCCTCTGCACAGAAGGTCTGATAGGACAGAGCTGAAATAGGCCATATATAAATTGGTTCCCTTCTTGAGAAGAATTTTAGTGTGACCCGTGTTCATGAGCATACATGGAATCCCCTTATGTTGGCCTTGCAGCTCCCTTTTAAGAGCATGAGACAAAAGAAACTGTGCAAGAAAGCAGAAAGCAGACTTGAAGAGGACTCAGCCAGCAGGCACCGGCAGTGAATTTGGTGTGGAATGGCTCTACTTTTTCCTCTCTCTGTTTCTGTGCTGTTGTTGTTTTAATTGTTGTATTCTTTTTGTTTGTTTGTCTTGAAGTACTTTTTAAATCTTCCATGAAAGGTTTATAAGAAATGTTACAGTCACCTAAGGAGACTGGAGTTGGTCCAAAGAACAAATAGATGTTTAGACGAGTTTTTATTAATAAATGTGCATATGCGTTGTACATGAAGCTTGAAATAGGCAACTCTTTTTCAGTCTTATATACCTATATTTAAGTCTGAAAAGTATGCAATGGAGTGCTTCCAAAAATGATGGTCACAAGAAGGAAAATTTCTTGAATGGGAAAGTGTAGAAACAATAAATAAGCGAGTGATGTGTAAAGAGCTTGGTTCTGCAGCTCCACAATTTCATTAGCTTATAACAGTTCTATGGCAATTCAGCACCTAAAGCACACTTTCATTTGGTAATGTTTCAAGCAAGCATTTGCAGATATTCTTTACCATGTTCTTCTAAACTGAGGTAGACCGTGTTTAAGTAAATCCCTGACTAGAGATTTCTTTTAATCAAATCATGTGGCAATATAAAGCTTTAAATTATTAATGTCAGGAGACCATTTGGGCATGAACTGAGGGTGAGTTTCCTTAGGCAGCCTGTGGCATCCCACGAAAGAAACTGTTGTGCTTTCTGTACAGTATTTGGCCTGATCTGCCTTCTTTACTTCAACAAATGGTTTTAGCCTGGTGAGCGGAATGAGGAGTCCCTCTTGAATTATCAAGGCATGAATGGCAAAAAATTCAGATGTTGGTGTTTCTTATCCTAACTGTAGGAAATAACATGGTACCTCAGTAGCCAGTGTGCTGACTGTGCTGACTTGGCAAACAATTTACTTTCATTGTGACCAGTAAGTGTGTACAACTCAAGATGAATAGTTTTAATTATTCACTTGGTGGTGGAACTGCTTTTACCTGCCAGTCTAAATATTTACACAGAAGCAGCCTTGTGTATGTGAAAATGTGTGCAGTATGTGAGAAGTGGTTATTGTGCGTTTGTGGCACCCACTTTACAACAGTTTGCACTCAGATTCATCTAAACCTGATTAGACTGCGCTGTCAACTTAACTAACTTCTTTTAAATTTCTTTTTGGAAATTTTGAGCACGTCTTGCAAAGGCAGCAATCATCCAAAATAAATTTGGGTGGAGTCCTTTATTACATGTGTTTTACTTTTTTATTCTTATTTGACTGAAGTTGTTACAAGAATGAGATCTTGGATGTCTCATTTTTTTCAAACTGTGTTGTAATTTTGTGGCTGATGTGTTCAAACCCTGACAAAGGTTCACAAGAATGCTGACACGGCCTTAACTGTAGTGGTGTGAACATGCTGCTACTGTATAGCATGTAATTATACCATTAGACTGTCTTAAAAATGTTGTTCAATAGAGAATGAATAAGGTATATTTTAGATACAACTTTATAAGCACTATAACCTCTTCACTAATTAAGCATTGTAAGCTCTATGCTGTTTAAACTGGCAAATTGCTGTTAAAAGCAAAATGTTCATTAAATACAATTGCAACCTTGTTTGAAAGGTTTCTTTTTCTCTTTTTTCTTTTTTTTTTTTTATAAATAATATATATATATTTTTAAATACATTAAATTGTCTTATATTAGCAGTCATATAATAATAATGAGCTGGCATATTGGTTACACAAAACACCTTTCTGAAAGTTAAAAAAAAAAAAAAAGGTACATTCACATCAGAAGTGATTTTATCACAGTTAGCATGCTGAACTGCTTCTGGAAAAAATTTGGAAATTTGCCCTTTTGAATCTGTAGTGGAAGTATTTGAACCAGGGGAAAATAAACTTGGTAACTTCAGTATAAGTATAGAGATTTAGATTTAAATAGTCCTTGAGAATATGAAAAACAAAAACAAAACAAAAAAACAGTGATGACAGGAGATCCCATAATGAAATACTTGTATACGGAGCAGAACATTAATAAATGTGAGCTAAATGCTAGATATTCACTGATTGTATTCACAGCACCCCTCCCTGTCTCAAAACAGACGTGGCAAGTAAAGGTTTAAAAATGTGTGATGAAAAAAACTCAGGGCAGATCTGATGGAAGGGTGGGGAGGGAGGTTCATCAGTATTTGAGGAGTCTTGGAGCAGGACTGGACTACAACTGGAAGCTGCAGAGAGCACAGAGGCAAATGGAAAAGCCCCAGGTTTGTGTTGGACGAGGCAAGCAGTGATCCAAAACCCTAAATTTGTTGTGAAAAGGCAGAATCATGGGTGTTGCCAAGTGTCTGACCAAACTGCAATGAAAGATAACTATAATTTTACAGTCAGAGCACTACGTTCATTCAGAAGCATGTTGGCAAAGCTGCTTTGCTGATGTGTTTACCTCTCCCTGCCCTGTGAGAGCACTGCCAATGGGAATGGCAAATGTAGGTCCTCCCTGCCTGCCTTCAGCCAGTGGTTGTGAATGGGAACTTGCCCGTTTCAGAGAATATTCCAGCTGCCCGGCTGCCAGGCCCTCTAGAAAGGCATCTTGTGCCTCCTTTTATAACGGGGCTGATGCACGTAGCTAGAAGGAGAGAGAGTAAACCAAGTTTTCCTCCGTAGCTCCTGTACTTCCCTCCTGCCATCTGGCTGGGATCTGCTGCGGGGACCTGTGAGCATGCCAGCCTTTTCATCTCTCCCAGCCTGTAAGGAAGGGATGTAATTTTACCAATGGCACCACTCTGGACATTTTGTGTATATTTTTTTTTTTACATTTCGGAGCAGTGTTACCAGTAAATCCTAATGGTGGTGTTAAAGGATGAACGCAACCTATGGAATTGAGGTTAAATGTGAAAAACAATACTTATAAAAGTACAGGCACAGCTGGCGGAGGGAACGTGCGTCTCGCAGGGGGAATAGCTATCTAATGCTGTTAGTTTTGATGCCAGTACTAAACGCAAAGCATAAGTAATTTTGTGGCTTAATGTTCAGTACTAAGCAGTAAATGAAAGGTCAGTCCAACATGTTAACTGTCAGGGAATAGTAAACACTGCTTTAATTGCTTCATACAATCAGCCTGGACTTTTGGTGTGTCTGGTGTCATGTTTTGAGCAGCGTGGTCCAAAGCCTCGTCCTGATTGCCTTCCCCCCAGTCAAATGACAAAGCCTCAAATTAAAGGCTAAACCAGGGTTTTTCAGGCAGCATATTGGGGGGTTGTGCTTTGAATGCTTAAAAGCCACTCCAAGGAAGAGGTACGGGGCATTTCTTGATCAGACTGGAGCCAAAATCCAGGTGTAAGGGTAGTTTTGCATTTTCTCAAGGCTTTCTTTTCTTGCTTTTCCGTTTTGAAGTGCCAAAATTTCGTAGCTCCTGCTGCGCTGTCACACTTTTTTACCCTGCCCAGCAGTACAGCACGTAGGAAACAAAATATACAGGAAAGATTATAATGGGAAAAGGCTTTTACTATGATTTCCTCCAGGTGAGTGAGTTGGGAGCTCAGTGTACAGCATGCTGTGCACGTCAGTGTCTGACTCATGACCTGCAGCATTCCCGGTATCACGTGCCCGGGATTAGTTTCTGTACTGGCAGCAGGTCTGCCTGGACTTTTGCACTTAAAAAACTCTCTGTGGAGTAGCCTTATGTAATGTGGTTATGCAGGGATATTTGAACACTTTGCCCAGTATTCTCAACTGCAAAGTTCAGGGGTATAGCCATCGGGTCTGCTTTTTATGGATTTGTTGATAGAAATACTGAAATTGTACCTTTTAAAGCAAATATGGCAAAATATTAGTTGAAAAGCAATCTGTGTTTATAAATGTTGGGGTTCACAATGAATGTGGTTCTGTTTCTTCTGATCTGATTAGTTCAATGTGTGGCTTGCACTATGTGATAAGCGTAAGTTTCACCTATATATATTTATTATTTTTTTTCAATCAAATCTCAAACAAGATTTGCTTCATCCAATTACAATGAACATGAATGAACTGAAAAAGCTGGGAGGAAAAGTGCTGCAATCTAACTTGCAGGCTAAAACTTATGCAAGGGGTAGCTCCCACACTTGGCATAATGTTGCAAGAAAGAAAAGGACAATAAATGATCATTTCAATTTTCCATGCTGCGTTTCAAAACAAGAGGGGAAGGGGAGCTTTACAGATGCATTTGTGCTGGCTTGTTCTGATCTTCAGCTGCTGTCCAAAGGCATTGCGTTGCTGGCCACGGCCACTGGGCCATGTTTTGGCTTGTCTGTTTTTCCTCTAACCCATCTATGCCAGTTTTTGGCTCAGTGTCTAGAAAAGAATCCCAAACCCCAGTATGAGCCTGGCTGTGCCACCAGCCACTGCATAAGAAATGTTTTTAGGAAGGTCTAGCTGAGATTGGCACAGTCCTTTTGGGCTCTGTGAGAAACCAGTGAAGTGTCCCTGGGCGCTTCGGTTGGTAAAGACGTGTTACGAGGGAAGGCGACTACATGGTGCTCAGGGGTGCTGAAAGTCCTTGTAAGTGCATTAAGGTCATACATGTAGATTCAATTATAGGTTCTAACAAAAAGCAAAGTCACCTTGCTCTACAGACCGTCATTTCTTGTCTGGAGTGCAGAGATCTGTCGTCATTGTGCCAAGGAGAGAAGAATACGCTTTCTTTTCCTCCTCCTCTCCCTTTGCACTAATGCATAGGAGTCTGAGTTAAGGACAGTTAATCCCGTTCTTGGAATCGGGACTATTTATAGGCTGGGTTAGCACTGAAAGACTCCACTGTTTTCTTTTAAAAACAAATGCTTGTTCTGTGCTGCACGTCAAGTGCAATCACTGCTGAATGAACTGACAAGCAAAGCCAAGTTCTCAGCTGAACTGGCTGAGCTCCACCGATTTCAGTGGATATGTGGTGTTTCGTGCTAGCCGGGAATTTGGCCCACTGTGTTTGAAAGGGATGAAATTGTTTTGAGCTCCTTTCTTTAATGTGCCACAGGTCAAAAAAAAAGTCCTGCATTGTGCAGCAAGTGCGAGCGCACAGCAGAATCTGCCTGTCCCTCTTTTCTTTCACCACTGATGAAAAGTGTCATTTTCTGTGATTTACACTGTGTGCCTTTTATATGGTATATCAGCTCTTCAGGGGGACAGACTTACAAGAATCAGATCTGGCAGATCAGATTAATAATGATGCAAATGCAAAATGTTGGCCACTGATGGGCTTGTTGTCATAAAGGCTTGCCACAATCCTGCGTGTTGTGTCCAGTATTTCACTTGTAGGAAATTCAGCTGCTGATTTGTTTTGGACCCGTGCCTGTTCTGATTAAACTGCAGAGAGTGAAATAATCCTGCTTTGTGGGGTTTCAGGCCCCTCTTACCAACCAGTTTCCTCAAACCAGCGTAACAAGCAAAAATGCAATGGGAGAAGTGGCTTAAGGAAGATAAATTGGAAGCTCCTGAAGACTGATGTTTCAAGGATGTGACTCAATGTAGTGATGTATGCACTGTAGTGATAAGTAGTGTAAGAGATGATAGAAATGTAGTATTATGTATGTAATAAATGTAGAAGTGTAGTGTAAAAAACCGTGAAGCTGGTAGAAAGAGGTATGCACGCGTTGCTGGGGAGTTTGCTCAGGCTTGCTCTGCAGGCTTTGGCTGTGGCACTGCTGCAGCAGCGAAGGGCAGTGGGAAGAAGGGGCACATGGAAAGCTGGCTCCAAGCAAATAAAAACTGCTAAGTTTAAGCAGGAGCAGCTCCACAGTCTCCTGCCTATAGCAGCATCAACACATGTGTCAGTGCAAAGGGGAAGCAGTATTGCTGTGTCCTGACTTCAACAGGCAATAAAAGCAAGGCACCAGAGAAGCTGTGCAATCAGGAAGGGACCCAGTTTCTCCCAGGAAACCCCACGCTGTTTCATCAGGGAAGTTTCAAAGCCACAGGGGACAGCATGTGCTTTCCGATGGGATTTCTTCTAAATCAGCTTTTGATGGAACACTGTCAAATTTTGGTAGTCCGTCTGTGATTTCTAAGGCTGTGGCAACTACTGAAACCCAGAGAGATGGGGTGAAGTGGATGGTGTGGCTGCTACATGTCAGAATATCAGAGATGTGAGCTGGAAAAGGGACCATGTACACATCCCCTGATGTCTCTTGCACAGCTGCTATGAGGTGCACACAGAGACTTCACTGCAGGAGGAAACAAAGAGACAACTGACACTTGTACTGATGAATTGTTATGGGATCTGATACCCTACCTGATGCTCTCTGATGTTAAAGGGACTTAATGGGTAGGAAAAATGCTAAAAGCAGTTCTTGTCACATAAGTAGAGATAAGCAGTGCTGAGTATTTGGTGTCTGCGATGAAGATTGACGTATATTCATCACGATGGCATCACTTAGATTATTAAGGCCTATCCCTTCTGCTACCTAAAATTCTCAAGAACAATATCTTAGCACCTGTTGCACTGCTCCCTGAGATGGTTCCCAACACTGTTGTAAACACTCACATCTTACATTAGTGATTCAAACGGTAACTTCCAACAATCTTCCCGGGTGGGGAAAGTGGTTTAGGTACGAGTTTTCCCATACTACTTCAGTATCAGGCTTCTCTTCATCAC